TGATCGGTGCGTCCTCGATAAAATCATATAAAGCCATTGAGGAAGTAAATTGTCAAAACAAATACAATCGTGATTACTATAGGTCATGAAGCTTTAGATGCATTGTAAGGTGTAATCCAACCATTGACCGTTTTAAAAAAAAAATTTCGGTTAACAACAAATTTAGTTAAATAAGATAATATAATGCACTTTTTTATCCTAATAAATAGGCCTTTTTTTTAAAAATCCCCTTGTATAAATTCCTTTTAGTACATCAATAAATATTTTCACACAGACAACATTTTGGAATTTTAACAATTTAAACACAAGACATTAGTCATCAAAGACAGGAAGCCTTCGTCAGCGAACAAAACAAAAGAAAAAAACATTATAAAATAAATTTAAAAAAATCACTTAGCTTAGATGTATTATCCGTAAGCAGCAAATGAAATAATGATTGAACTATTCATTCAACTATTCATTTGCTGCCCACGGATAATACTTCTGTCGAAGGCTTCCTGTCGACACCTTCGTTGTTTTGTTGCGTTCATTTTTTCAGGTTTAACCTTACTTTTTACTAATTTTATATTATGCTCACCTGATTGCAGTCTCTCCCCTTATTACCATAATTTCATAAATCAAAAGATCTTTGACACGTTTTCTGTGATTTAACTTTTATCTGCTACTTTTACATTCGGGCTGAAGTTAACCTTACACAATAGTTTCTACAGACTATAGGTTTTTCTACAGGCTTTTCTAACGACAAATTTGTGACCACTTATAGGCCTTGAGATTGTTTGTGTATGATAAAATATGTCATCACTTGGTAGGAACATGTTGTTGAAAAGACCTTTTGAAAATCATCCCTACATGGCATTTCGATACATAAAAGATTAAGATTTAAGAAGAGAATGGCTTGAGAAATAGTAGTAGATGCTGGACTCTATATGCGAGAATAAAAAGGTAGTGAGTCGCTGGAATGTATCAATCGCGCTTTCATGCTGAAACCCAGATCAGAGCATTAGCGATAAAGGAAGTAGCAGATATTTTTGGGGCTGTTCAACCCACGTGTATATTATCAGCAAGGGAAAACCTCATACTAGTGTCCGTTCCAAAATCAATCTCTTTCTATGCTAAGTATAAGAAATTGAGCTTTCATCAAAAAGAAATAACAAGGCTTATGCGGCTTATTAAAGGCAGCTGATACTGAATTTCAAAATTTCATGGAATTGTCAGTATTTGATATTTAAAATTCATAGATGAATGGGACTGCATATAATCTCTTCCAATACTCTCGTTAAGCCTTAAATTGTTTCTTGAGATCTGTATGTTTCTGGCTTCATGTGAGAGAAGCTTTTCAAAGTTAAGACTTATGAAGAACTATTTACGATCCACCATAAGAAATTCAAAGTTTTCTGAATTGTCTCTACTTTCAATTGCAAATAATACGGTGGCGGATTTTGATCACTTGATTGACAGGTTTGCTGTTTGAAGACCAGGAAAGGAACATTTTAAATAAAGTTCAATCAATGTAAACATAACTATAACTTAATGTTGTTACAGTTCTTAAATAAAGTATCCTCTTGTCTTTGTTATTCTGTGGACTTATTTTAACAAGAAGAAATCCATCGTGGAAGTCGGGAGAAGGGGGCCACACCATAAGTTTACGGCACCGATTGACACCAACCCTAACTAAGCCACTGCCAGGACATACACGTTTAGCGATAGTAATCCTTTCCTGGCCCGTATAGTAGGTAATCAGTTCTACTGTTACTCCTCTGTATCAAATACATGCAAATAATTACCATTTCGTTTACATTATTTCAGATACCACATTTTTATATATAATGTTTCATCCTGCAAATACTAAATTTGGCAAGATTTCTTCAAGGATTAATTCAATAAAAATGAATGTCACTAGAAACAAAAGAAAATTTCATGTAAAACAAGTTTTATTGTATTGATCGCATTAACATTAATCTTGCTTACGGGATGTAATACGTAAACTTTAAGAATTAGCATTTCGTATCGTTTGATTTATGAAACTTGATGCAAGAAACACATTAAAGTTTGCAATTATTAGTCGCATTTATTCAATTGAAGAGTTTTATCAAAGGAAACCAACTATACATGTATATAAAAATGTAACAAAAGTTAGTGTTAGACCTACAAGAAAACGAATGAAAATAATTTGTTATTTTTTTTTAAATTACTATCAAAAGCTGGTGTTTTGAGTTCTAATGTTTGAATGCTATTTAAAATGCCTTGAGTGACTACAAAGCTCAGAAAGCCACCACGGGCATTGAATAACATTTCAATTCAAAGATGGAAGGTGAGCTTCTTGCGGAAAAGGTTAATTTGTTAATCTTTTTTGGTAATCCTTATCACTTACATAACTTTGGCGACGAAATGTTTTTCATAATGTTTACTACTCCACTTATTCAAATTTAAAATATGTTTGAATCTTCCTTTTTTGGGATTACAAAATATTTTTTTTTAATGAATACACATATATGTCTCTTGCAATGACAATACATGCAAAGTTACTTTAAATAGCGCTATTACGTACTGTTATCAGTAAGAAGAAATTAATACCTTATTTAAGTGTATGGCTCGTACAATTAGTCAATGTATTAAGTTAATTATAATAAATTACACAATCAAAAATAAACTATTTACTTACAGAGTAATCTTAGCCTTGTACCGGTACAATGTTGAAGAAAACACAAAGTGCAAAAAGTTACAATTATTTAAAAAATCTACACACACACCTCACATAAATCTCTCGTCTCGTATCAATGAAAGCACACGGTCACAGTAGCACTCGTGTTAAATGACAGCCCAAGGATCTCTCTTGTGTCTCCTTTTATCGTCTGTTTTAAGTGTCTTTCTAGAACGGCCATAAGCATTGTTTTCCTTTCCAGGTTTGACCAGATTTTTCTACCGAATTTACTGACCTTTGCTGGCATCCGTCCGTTACAATGTGACGATGGAGTGGGCTTCGGAGGGCGAAATCCACATGGCCTGGGATTATTCTTCAAGGATTTTAAGCTGGTTCCCAACAGCAAATCGCCTCTTTCCACGCCGCTGGATAGCCCAGGGGAACATCATTTGATGATACAGTTTGGCACCAGTGACGTCGCAGGAGTTGTGGGAATGTTTCATTGTATCAATGTAATCCGCCTTTCTCCGGAATTGATTTCAGAGTTTCCTTATCGAGTTAACAAGTCCCATCCACCCGGGGTGCTGGTGGTGTTTTTGCTTGACTAGGCTCTGGTTGGAATTGAGCTCCAGACCACCAACATGAGATTTGCTCAGTTTAGACCACTCGGCCACCCAGCCCCCTTCCAGACCTTTATATAGATGTAAACATGGTCAAGAGACTGTTTTTGCTAGCCACACCCTAAATGCGGTTCCGAGCTTGATGTCCGCTAGAGTTCATTCACGAGGAAAGATGGCGTAAACAGGTCGTGTACATTAGCGTTTCCCAAACTTTTAAGTTTCACGGACCGGTGGACAAATTTCGAAACTGCATCAGGGACCGGTGCCAGATTTATTAAATACATTTTCTTTCTATTTAAACATCAATATTCATTCTCTCCGGACTGGCGGATGATGGCCCACGGACCGGCAACTGTCCACGGACCGACACTTTGAGTAGCACTGGTCTACATAACAGCGTTAAAACATTCAACACCACGGACGAGGAAGATGAGCTTAGAATATGAAATATTATTTAGTGACTGGGGTATCGGCTCTGAAAATTTATATAAATTACATACTTGAATTCGCAAAGAATCTTTAAAAATTCTTAAGTGTCTGATGCAAATCAATACATTTTTAAATATACACAATTTTCCTAGGAAACTTTTTTTTTTTCTTTAATACATCTTTCCAAAAATGTGTTTTTTATGTAAATTTGATTACAGGTGTTACTTTATAATAAGACTAAAGAATATAGAATGAATGTCAATTTTTTTAAAGGTTACATATATATATATATATATATGTATCATATAATATTTTAAAGATTTTGTTAGCATACATATAGCATCTGGATATCAGTTACGAGATTTTACAGCTGAAAAGCTATGATTATAAATAATTGTAAGACATAGACAAATGTTTTAACACTTGTTTATCAGGTTAACCTGAATATATTTACAACCGAGACATTCGATGTCTACTAACGTATGAATAGCAGGGTGTTACGTTTTAATTCTATACGTATGTGTTAAGCTTTATGCAATTCCATTCACAACAAAAACCAGGAAGTTTAATCCAACACAGTGACAGTTTATGTTGTGTGTAGATAGTCACATATCTGTTTAACGTAAAAGGTGTATTAGGTGGGTAAGTTCAAATTTAAATATGTCCAGATAACGTTAGGGGTAAAAATAAATTTAACACCCTGCTTTATAGTGCAGAATCCTTTATACACCATCTACACAAGTAAATATATTTATATTTACACATTCATTTACTTACAATACGTTAATGGCATGATTTATATTATGTTTAGCTGATTGCCATATTTATAATTCTTCCAATCTTGACGTTTATGCAAAGATTTAGTGACATATAGTCAATATTATTGTATTGACTTTACTATAAATTACAAGTACAAAAAATTTGAAATCGTCGTCTATCACTTGTATGTGTTTTCCTAATTCCAACATGTAAGGGAAGAGGCAAACAAATGCATTGTTTTAGTTTGGTTTAACAATAAATAGTATGTTTAGGAGTCTGCACTAGATGACACGTAGGCATTTTTTTTAAACAAAATGTACACTGACTGTAATGTAGGTGCGTTTTTTTTTCTGTCATTAATTGGGGTGAAGTTGGTAGACAGTGCTGATACAATTAAGTACAGATCGATAGGTTAAAAAGATTATTTGCTAAATTGTATTTCTATAAAAAAAAATGTTTTAAAAGATTTTAAAAATAATAAAAATGTAAGCGGTGATAGCATTTTTAAAATACATACAATCAAACTTAAGCTTAATGTATAAATCTCTGTATAGCTTTCAGCTGTTCTCCTTAAAGAATGAATCAGATATTCACACACATTGTGGTTGTTATAAAACTAATCTTTATTGGTAAGTATCATTTTATTCTGGTTTAAATTTAAATCGTTCACTAGACTCTGTAGAATTGGCAATATACAACACACGTGTCAAACCCGTTATGCAAATGGATTTAAAAAGTTAAAATATTTTATTATAAAGAACTTTACAAGATGTGCTATACAGTAACGTTGAGCTAGATTGAACAATGATACAAGCGCATTCCTAATTAGTCACCCTTTTATCAAATATGTTGCGGAAATCTGGTATAGAACAAACAAATTGCGAAATGCATCTTTTACTTTATGAATATTTGATTCAATCAGAAGGTAATTAATGCTAGATTTACTTATTAAGAAATGTTGTATTACATTTTTGAAACTCAATTGTTAAAATTATGGTCACTTTCAAAGTCAAAACTTTTATTCAAAAGGATTCCAATCACGACTGTTCAGAATATGGATGTTTAAAAGATGTAAATAAGAAGTTAACTATTTGATATATACAAAAATAATAAAACCGATTTGATAAAAATTGCTTTTTAAATCACAATTGTTTAATGTTTCTTATCCAAGTTTCTATACATTTTAAATAAAGCACGTTTTCTTTTTTAAAAACTCTTTAATTGTATGTCAACTTTTTTTAACATCTTGAAGAAAATTTGAAACAAACATTTATTTTTTTCTTCCCTCAAAATTTTGTATACTTTTCAAATGATGGAATGTATGGTGAGAAAATAATTATGTTATTTATTTTTTTTTTGTAAGCTATAAAAGATAGATAATTAACTTGGTAGAATGTCTCAGCACTTTTTTAAAGAGTTTAAATATAATTTCCTAGATTCATTATTATTTTTAAAATACATTTTTCTCAGGTACCTCTCTTGGTGAATGGGTTTCTATAGGACAGTCACATGCATTTGTCTGTACATACAACGTCAAGAGCTATCCATCATTCTCATGGTTCATTGGAGCGGATAACATCATATTTTTATGTGAGGATTATGGAAAACTTTCGTGCACGCCAGCCCTTGATCAATTGCTAGAAATTTACGATGCAAACATAACTTTAGACTCTAAAAACTACACATCAGTTTTGACAATTAAGTCTGTCGCAATGGAACATCATAACACAACGTGGTACTGTTATGTTACTTTAGCATCTGGACTAGGCAGTTCTTCAAAATACAGTCTATACGTTTTTGGTGAGTTTACAAAGCTGTTAGCAATTATGTATACATTTATTTTTATATTTCCAATTCACTGTACATTTTAATTTTCTTAACTATTAAAATTTAAAATTAAACACTTATACATTAAAAACTACTCAAGAACAAAGAATAGAATAATAAACTTATTACATTTTATAACTCATTGTTGTTTTGAGTTGTTTTATTTATTATGTTACCAGCGCCACCACAGACCCCATCTTGTCTCAATGCAAAATTAATTGATGATGTAAATATTGAAGAACAGTGCAGCACTGAAACTATTTTTCCCGAAGCGATATGTCTGTTTTACTTTAAAACCAATGTAAGCTGTCCACTTTCATGTTAAAGGCATTGCTATAGTCTAACACAGTTCATATGTACAAACAAAAAACAATTTTAAATTGCTTCCATTTGCTTATCCAAAACAAAAACGAAAAAAAAAAAACCGCTCATTATGTTGTTTCTGTTCTATGACATATTAAATCTATTTACCGATTTACTTAGTTGCTTAAAAAAGCAGGTGAAATATGTTTTCTTTGTTAGCGATTAATTAAATTGTTTGCTTATAATCTTTTAGCCAAACAGATGTACAAGAAATAAAATCGATTTAAATTAATTTATTTTTTGGATACTATTTGACATTGTCATTACTCATAGGGTATGGCTAAATAGCCATATTATATGGTCCAAAATTTCAAGGGCCTTATAACAAAATGCCGGAAATTGCAACAAGTTTACTGACAAGAGTTCCAACAAAATTAAGAACTTATTTTGACTGGTATTTTAATTCTATGGTTAACGTAAAAGAAATTAACATGAAAACTTTACAATAAAATTTGATTTGGCTTTGTTGGATACTAAGGAGTATAAAACATGAAAATAAATTGTATTTCTAATAAGATATTGAATATTTGAAAATTACGTAATCACGTAAAAGAAAACTACTGCATTTATTTAATAATAGGATAATGTGTGTATTCTTTAAAGAATACAGGAGCCGCAAAAATGAATGGTGGATTGATTACCTACCAATCTGAGCCATCAAGCACTTCAGGATACATTAGAACAAAATGCACTTACACTATCTCTGCTGACAAATTAGGACCAGGGTCGCATGTCTTCTATGTTGTAATGTATCCGAATATCACATCAAATATAACAGAGGACATGAAGAGATCAAGCCAATACACAAATCCTGTCGTAATAGGTAATGTCAAATAACTCAACAAATTTAATGTAATAGATACCAAAAATGTGTATTCTTTCTATTTACAGTACTTATAATGCATTCTTGCGTGCTTTTTTTTTTCCTAATAGATTGAAATAAAATAATTCTAGAAGCAAATTTTTATTGTCTTTTGTACTCTATACCATACGCGTCAATACTTTCAACCATCATTCTAACATCCATATTAATTCAATTACACAAATGCGATTTCCTATCAAGCACATTTGGACATTTCTTAAAGATAAAATCAAGAATTCATCAGTAGCATCACTAGTTTCATAAAACGAATAACTTTATTCATATATCATGTGAAAGTACGCTCAGCCAGTTGATTTGAAATACTTTTGATGTGCCCAATAATCCAATTTTAGGCTATCCTAATGCTGTTCTCGCCAAAGACTGTCAAGTCAACGACTACATCAAAGAAAACCAAAACAGAACGTGTACATGTTACGATAACAGCCGGATATTTTTATCAACACAAGTTACTTGGTCTAATGGATCTGCTCGAGATGGGCAATTAGAGTTTCTTTCAAAACGACCTTCTAAGGGTGAATCTTTATGTAAATAGTTAATTGAACTTCCCTTGTGAAAGTGCAGTATTTGTTTGACAGCAAGCATGTAAGCATGTTATCTCAGTCCGACATTTCAATACCATTGTATTACTTATGAATGAAGCTAAACGATGCACATTGGTTTCAGACAACGCCATGTACACCTGTTCGATATCGAATAAACTGAGCTTGACAAAGCAAATCACATATCAACCAAACATAACGTGTAAGTACAAATTCGTGTATGTTGTGAACAATTGGGTATTAAAGTTGGCGATATTTAATATAGAACTCAAGATCTGCATACAACAAGAAATGATTTATTTCTAAGATCTTAATATTTCATTCTTAAAAATGTGTCTTCAAAGTTATAACTTAACGATTTGATTGATTTATAAACAGTTTTTTTTTAAAAGTGTTATAACATTTTTAAATGATTTATAATGTATTGTATTGTATGGTAGCTTTCAGCGGTACACACTAACTAGAGATTCTTAAAGCAATTCATTATTTTTTCGATAATAGTACCGTGTAGCAAATATTTTATTGCTATAGTTAGCATTGTTAGTGTTTGATATGGTCTAAAATTATTTTCGTGAAATAAAAAATATTTCTGCTCAAACTTAACTATAACTTACCCTGTTAAATCTGCTAAAAATAATTGTAATTATATTCATTTAAAATATTCGATATATTTATTTTGTCAAGTTAATTATCAAAAACCTAAAGGGTAGAACTAGTTAATATATGAAGACGATAGCACACATTTATGTTTATTTTAAATTTATTGTTTAGATGGCCCAGATAGTGCTGTCTTGTATCTTCCTAAATTGACCTTTGACCAGTGTGATCCTAACGGAGCGAATATGTCCGGGACTTGTTCAGTTAGTGACAGCTATCCTGACCCTACAGTGTATGTTTACGTCAGCAACTCTCCCGCGATGCATCAGATGAAAATAACAAACAACGATTACCGTTTCAGCCAAGTCATTTCTGAAAGTGGAATAGTCTACGTTTTGTGTCGTGCTGTCAATACTATTTATGAGGAGATTTCTTCTGAGATAATAAGTTCTGTAACAGTGAAAGGTAGCGGCGTCTTGTAGCTCTTCAAAAATGTAGTTATTTAATTTTGATATAAAATTAATTAAATAAATAAAAGGGTGTTTTGCCCGAATATGTTTTGTTTAGATTTTGGCTCATTCAATTTTTGTTTAAATAAAATTCATTTTACATTATCATTGCTAATATTTTTTTCACCGTATATTTAATGTGTTTAAAGTTTCCGAAATACCGACTATAAACATTCAGTTTATTTTTTAAAATTTACTTTAGTGGATTTCAAATAATCAAAATTCTCTAACACAATACATACTATCCACGAAATTCTCACTTAATATTTATATATTTTAAGGACCACCAGAAGCCCCACAAATATCCTCTGTGTCAGGAAAAACCAAAAGTCTCACTGAAGGAAACAAGCTGCAGGTCACAGAGGGAAAGACAGACATCGTGTGTGAATCTAAAGGAGGATTTCCCCTGTATAAAAACTTAACACTTGTTTGTGGGACACACGTACAATCTAATGAAAGTAATTTGATAAAATTCTATAAAATCTTATGTTTATCCATGTTAAATATGCATAGGTAAATACTATGACTGTTTAAAACTAAGAAATTATCGTATTTTACTCCTGTTACGCACTTGCTTCTATAGGGAGAAATTAATCTCCTATTTTAAGTTTATGTTTAAGGCTCGTTCTTAACAGTGCACAACAAAGGACGATACCATATGAGAAATACAATAGCAAAAATACGACACCAAAAACAGTTGCTAATTACCATAAATAATATTTATTTTAGTATCAGTATAATTACACAAAAAATGTGCCAGAAAATAAGGTACCATAAGGAATACAAATTAACACATTTAAGTAAACACAGAATAGCACACCCTTGTCTCGTGAAGTCAAAATATGTCTTTTCTCATTATTGCTCTCTTTGCTTTTATGTTCAGTTCTACCAAAATTTAGAGGCGTATTCCGGATTGTACTAGTAACTAGAACATTCCACAATTTAAATTAATTGTCTAAGGCCTTTGACTCAACCAAATCAGGCAATAGCTTAATTTGGGGTAAACAAGATCAAAGTGAATAAGCCACGCCCAATAGGATTGCAGCGTCTGCTAGGGATCTGAGCACGGGGGAAATATGACGCAAATACGTCATACATACTACCTCCGTATAAGACGACTATTACACCTATGAAAATAATTTCAAAAATATGGGGACTTCTATATGCTAGGGATAGCCTTATAAGCTGGTATACCACATGCTTAAACTTCAGGGACATGCGCCCTCTAGTTCCAGTTATGTTAATAAATTAGAAAACAAGCAACATGGCAGTGTCAATGGGTTTATTGTCTTATCCTTGCTTTATGTTTTATAATGTATTAGGACAAGTTTAATCCACTTGCAATGTTTATATGTTTGATGATAAAAAGCCTTATATTTAAAAGTGACAGTTTTCTTGCAAAGTTCCTGCATATCATAAGCATTTGAGTTAAAATGACATAATATCGATATTAAATCTGACGTTTTTTGTTTTTTTTCTTTGGTGTGCTTTGGAAGATGTGTAGTCTTATTCTTATACGGCAAATATAGCCCAAACCCTATATTTTAAAAGGAAAAGTAGGCGGTCGTATTATACGCCCAGTCATCTTTTGCGCCAGAAAAATAAGGTTTTAATACAAGAGAAAACAAAATATTATTCAAATAGTAGTTTATGGTTTCTCCTCTCATATTTAGGAAGTGAAACAATAAGTATGACACTCAACATATCACGTGGCATGCAGGGTATGAATTGCACGTGTGCTGTATGGCATGAATCGAAATGTTTGCATAACTTCGTCAAAGTGAGTCTCAAACTTCTTCAAGGTATATTATGGTTTTATAATTATTATGTGCAGTTTTTCTATTACTAAAATAAAATTGGATGATTACAAATTCTTTTAGAAACCTAATAATTCTAATTTAGCGTTTTCTCATTTTAAATCATTTAAATAAATGTGGTATGTCATGATTATGTTTGCTAATATGTTTATGTAAAGCGCGGTGAGCCTAGCCCTAAACTGAGAATCCACGCTATACAAGACCACTAATAATAACAATAATCTAAATTATTTTATTTTATTCATTAGATATTATAATTAAATAGGAAAGCCAAATTCTTTCTTTTCATTATGTTTTAAAAATAGTTTATTGTTAAGTTTAATTTAAAAACCCTTGTCGTATATAAAGAATTCATGCTTGAAATAGTGTTACTGACCATTGAAAAGAAAATAATTATTAATAGTAACAATTAAACTTTTACAGATGAAGAAAGCAATGTAGGTGCCATTATTGGTGGAGTTATTGCAGCAATTGTTGGCGTCTTGATAATCGTGGCTTTGATGGTGTTTATTGTTAAAAAACGTTCAAGTAAGTCATTTGAACATGTTGATATATTGAAATACACCAAACCAGAAGAGTTTTGTTTTTCGTAACAACAATAATTTTTCTTTCTTTATTACTTAACTGAATTTTTTGCTGGTCATGTGTTTTATCAAATATCATCCTGATGAGCTCGTAACATAACAATTTAACCACACATTTTTTATTTTGGTTAGCTGTCATAATCTTCTTCCCAGTGTTGTGTTATGAGTTACCTTTAGCTGTCCATTGGATATTGTTAGTATGACTGCTCTCTATTTTCATTATTTTCTGGTGTCCTGGTATACATGGTAAGTTTAGCTTAATTGATTTGGTTTAGAGATTTTTTTTAATAGGTGTTAATGTGATATTGCAAAACTTAATGATCATATTTCTTAGTATTTTTTGCAATCTAGAGAAGATCGAGCTATTTATTGGTTTAGCTTGTTTGCCTAAGTTTTCTAGGTCGGTTTGCAGGGGAAGAATATTTTTTTTTTTGAGTGACCTCATCTAGTTTTAATTTCTATTTTATTCTATGTTTTTTTTTCTTCTATTGTTAATTTGGGATTTTCCTGTACCCTTAATCTACCTCGATATCTGTTGTCTGCCCTCTCATATTTATCGTATACATATTTGTTTGTATTTAACATGCTGCTATTTAGGAGTGATCTTAAACCACCCGAGACATAAATAATTAATATAACAATAAAAGTATGGACTTCTTCACATTCTTCTTTTAATAGACTTTACTGCCTTGTCTTGCTGCACATTTGCCGGACGACAAAGCTTTTTCTATCCTCGATCAGCCAAATCCTATGTACAACTGGCGTAGTTTACTCGTTACTACCACATGAAGTACTTACCAGGCTTTAGATTATGTTTAGCTGCTTTGTTGAACTTACATTCACATTTTTATTACTTATTATTTTATTTTTTTTATTTGCCCATCAACCTGGAACCTAGATGTTTTGATTTCTGTTCGTTTTTGGAGATATTTGCTTGTAGGGATATTAGGAAGTATTATTTTAGTGAAGACCGGGGATACGGTAATGGTGTTGTTTACGTTCCGTCTCCACTTTTAAAACTATGCACGGAGCCGTAATTATCAAATTTAACGAAACATAAGATATCGGAAATGTCAGAGAAAATGACTGACATTGATTAGTGTAACTTTGACTAGACATAGTTGACTGACACAAATGTACAAAGAAATGTGTCTATTACACAAGTAAACACTTATGACTTTAATAATCAAGCTAATAGTGATATTAATAAATCAAATCTGTTTTTTAAAGATATTAAAAATATTCCAATAACTGCTTCAATATTGTTTCCAGATAAACTGAAAAGACAGTTACAAGAAGCAAACATTAAGTGAGTTGAGCATGACAAAAAAAAAACATTCGATGATAATTTTTTCTAGTCTTGCTAAACACACAAATATCAACGAATATATATAATTTTCAATAAATTCAGCATATTTTTACCTTCATGAAGATGCAATGAAAATATATTTTATATATTTAAAATATCATTAAAATATCTAAATTTGATTGAAAAGAAAATAATATTGAAGAAGCAATGCTGACATCTTGTAAACACCAACAATTTAGATCCTACAAATTAATTTTATGTTTCTAGCAAAATGCAGAACTACTCAAATGTTCAAGGTAAGATATCAAGACTTCCTATTGTATGCTAGTAAAAATGATTAAATAACATATTTAGCGTGAAAGAAAAATGAGTACGTTAATTGTAAAAAAAAGTTACCTTACGATGTTGTGAAAAATTAAGGTACTTTATAATTAACTTTTGCGTTGCGTTTGTGATTCGTGTAATTTACGCATATGAATTAAGAAGAAATTTTGTTTTCATTTTCTTATTACTCAGTATCATTTATTTAATATGTATTTTAAAACAAATTCACGGGGTCATCTGATCAATGTTTACTCAGCCAAACCATAACAACAAAAAATGATATGAAAGCAGAAATTGTATTCACCAACCCAATATACTTTACTATATTTTCTTTCCTAAAATTAAAAAAAAAAAAAAGTTTTTTCGTGGGTGAATGTACCCAATAGGAGCAATAACATATTTAGTATCATGCTAAGGTTATGGCATGGAGCCTTCTCCATTTTTGAGTCCACTATGCACATTTTTTTTTTTAAATTGAGTCACAACATTTTTATGTCAAAAAGTAAACGTCACCTTACTTGTTTACACAAACGTTTAGGTCAGTTTATCCGCTTACTCTTTCTTCAAATCAAGCTATTTTTTTTAAAAACATGTTTTCTAAGTGAGCGAAGAATACATGAACTCCGAGACGCATCAATATGAAAGACCCATCTGTACGTCTGACAGAACTACTCACACTGAGGACCATACACCAACACATTTCAGACAACACAAGTCCAAGTCTAATTTTTCAGATACCAATGTTCTTGGTGGATTTATTGAACCGACAATTAGACGGCAGGAAACTAAAGAAAACAAAGAAATTAAAGATACGACTTGCCAGGGTGAGCTTGTTGTAAATAGTGAATAGGTTAAATTAATTAAAACACATTTTACTGTGTGTAGTACGATCTTCAAAAACTACAATCTGCATGATGATAAGGTTAATAGTTGCATTTAAATCTTTCAAATAGCACACATACAGAGACGTGTGCATTATAACTACATTTAATGTCAGTAATGCAAATTGTATTTAGTTTCTTTTGTAACATTTAACAGTTTGCCATGGAATCGATATGTCCGATTATAACATTATTTATTCAACCTTATTTGGTTACGTCTTTGTATCGCGAGCAGTACTCTGAACATTTATATTCTTTTTAATCTAGGGAGTACATGTTATATCAGGCTTGTCAACCATTTTATTTTAAAAACGAAAACGCATTTCCTCAATGACGTAACAGCCCATTAAATGCATGTTATAATGCAATCTCTTGAGCGAACCTTGCTAAACACTGTTTAACAAGTCTGGTCATCAGATATCATATGCATTTGAAAATTGCTTGCCATTTTACAAAATATAAGGCTTTTAGAAAATACAAACTGACATATATATATATGACTAGATAATGCATTAAAACTTTTCGTTTAAATGACACTAAAATAATGTTTAAAAAAAGTCATCATGTACTTATTTAATGTGTGTCCACTTTGTTTTTGGCAGATGGAGAAAGTGGTGTTAAGCAAGATTATCATCATTATGAGGAGATCGATGACGTCAATAGATTTACACGGGACGCGTCGTCAAGCAAAAAGAATGGCGAAACAGAACAAAATACTTCTCACATGAACCTTTAGATTATGTGGCAGGGATCTTTTTTTTATAAATAACTAACTCGTTTTACTTAATGTATGCACTTTTTTGTAATTTTAGAAATATGTATTTTAAAAAAAAATAACAACCATTATTTATTAGTTTATACAGGTCATATTATCTGAAGGGATTTACAGTCAAATAGCTGATTAAATAGATCTAAATCTAACTGATAAAACAAAAATAAGTGTCTTTCAGGCATGTGTACTTAGCACGCTCCTATATTGTAGCGAAGTGTGGACCACACATACACAAGTCAGGAGCGGAAACTCAACAGCTTCCATCAAAAATGTCTGCGTCGCATTTTACGCATTCGTTGGCAGGACAGGGTGCCTAACGTGGACGTTTTGGAACGTGCACACATGTTTAGCATATTCTCCTTTCTAATCAATAGACGCCTTCGCTGGTTAGGTCATGTACGTAGAATGGAGGAAGGACGTATCCCAAAGACGCAGCTGTATGGAGAGTTGACAGAAGGGACAAGACATATTGGACGGCCGCGCCTGAGATTTATTGACGTGTGCAAACGAAGCATGAGGAAAGCCAATATTGAAACAAACGATTGGGAGTTCATTGCCGATCATCGCTCCAACTAGCGAACAGCACTGATTGAAGGAGTACAAAAGGCAGAAGAAACTTGTAACGAGGCCCTTGAATCAAAAAGAACAATTCGGAAATCAAGACCTTACCGAGATTGAATATTCTCCTGCGAGAGAGGCGGCTGTGATTGCCATTGTAGAATTAGCCTAGTGAGCCACTCGTTAACGTGTTGAGCTATATAGCTAATCCATCGGCTCACGAAGACGGAAGGATGCCCTATATAAATTATTATATAAATTATATATATATAAACAGTTCAATATTTAGCAAAATACTCTGCTTGAGGAGTAATTCTTTTACAAACATTGATGATCATGGATTGCGAAAAGGGAGATTATCCCAGATGGCCAGTACTTGAGATCTGCTATATGTATTTATCTGAAAATCTTTAATAATATTTAATAAAGCAATTCATTTTTTTTTCCAAAAATTTGACTATTTGACAGTAAGCATTTGGGCAGGCTTCTATACCAAATGTAAATTAACTTAAAGCTGGATATCTTTCAATGTGTATTAAATACCTTACTTAAACTTCTATTTATACTTTCTTTTAGAGGGATAGTGATTAATTTAATTCAAAACTTCTGACATGTTTTAGTCTGCTAACTGGTTTAGTAGTCACACAAGAAGAAAATAGAAACATAAAAAGATGATCTTTTATTGATTCCGATGAATGGGAATTGGATTTTAATCAAATGTTTTTAATCTTGAAAGTCTTAATTTGACTTTGAATTCTGGATTTAAACAAACAATTCTATTTGGATTGTTAAGAAAATTGTAATCTATATTAATTAGCATGCCTACATTTTTTGATACTCATTTCAATCACTAAACAACAATATCCTCCGGCATTTATGCCTCTTTTTCAAGCACATCATATCTGCCTCACAATTGTTCTTCTGAAAGAGACTGTTATGTCCAATCAATTTTTTTTATTCTGAACGCAGAACATGATGCTTAATATCTTGAGATTATGTCATTGTGTTTTATGTATTATATGCTATTTATAATGTATGTTTTATTGGAATATGTCTATATTTATGTATAGCAAGGATGTGTGTGTTATTATCAATTACACTATGTTTTTCATTTTGGATATAGCTGCATAAAAACACCTTTAATTTCAGTTAAAAATACCATGTATTAAGCAGGTATTGCTTGTTAATCTTTTTCACTAACTTGATTAATTATTTACGAAAAAGTTGTTGCATGATGTTTGATTGGCTAAAGTTTTGTTCCATTAACTGTTGTACTTAACTCCATATGTGATAATAGACAGTCTGTCCGCAGGGTTATCGAACTCAGTACTCTAGATTATAATAAATACTTATTCTCTTATATTAAAATATTCTTAATGCCTTTTCTTTATAGTTAATTAGTTTGACTAGGCTGTTAACAAATTTTTTATTAACCTAAAACATTATTTATTGTGTACATAAAAATCGTTAATGTCGTTTCTTAATTCCAAAATTTCCACACAAGCAGCATGGATATTTTGATACATAATTTTTATTTTATTGTTATGGAAAAAAAAATATTCATCGTTGCAGTTGTATTTTGTGTTCGTAAAGGAAGATTATCATATTTGAAGAACCAGATAATTAGTTTAAAACATATGAATGTGTAACTTTTAATTGAACAAGTTTAATCTTGGATTCATGTAACTAAGGTCTTTTTATTTAGTTTGTTCTCTGTTTACATTTATTGTGATTACCCAATAACCAATGTATAGTGTTATTTTTACTATGTATACAATTTATAAAGCAATAACTTAAAGTGTGGTATCTTGAAGTGCTTTGGTAACGATAACACATTTATTCAAAAATACTCAAAATTTATATTTTCCAGTTTCTAGCATTACGTTCTTAAATATATATATTTTTTTAAAATTATATTTTTATACAGAATTTCATAGGTGCTTGATTTATAATTTTATTTCGGATCTTTTCAAAGCGAAACGAAGTAGGCGTTTCCGAGCGTAGAAGGCGGCAACTTCTTGTTCCAAGAGGTTTAGGTTGATCTCTGCGGTAGGGAAGTAGACTCTCCAGCGATAAATCGTGGGTAGTCCCTGTATGTCGAGTTCCTTATCGAAGATGTAGGTAGTTTGGTGTGAGACGAAAACCGATTACCTAGTTCTAGCTTCAAGTTACATCGGTTTAGTAAGAGTAAACCAGGCTAAATGTGAAATGATACACAATAGTTACGAAGTATCTAGGCGAATAGTATTAAGCTGACATGTCCCATTCTAACACAAACGAAATGATATAGAGGTATTAAACGTGACATAGCTTGTACACATGCATCCAATGCTAGGATAGATTGATAAGTCATTGTCAGCGTAAGCATGTGAGGCTTAGCGAAAATGTTCGACCACGTAATCATTTTAATTAAAGTATGAGACAATGTATCATTAACAAACATTAATTTTATAGATACAGGATATACCTATTGTCATCTTGCTAAAAGAGACATGGGCGTGTGGGAATAACAACCTACCATCGCCATGATGGGTGCCTTTCCCATATGGATGTGTGGCTCAGCCCGCGTAGGCGTGCTTAAACATACTGACATAGAGTACATTACATATAACAATCACGATCGAATCATTGTTACATAATTATATGAACATAACAAATGCCTTAATAAAAGTATCAGAATCATGACTGGGAACTTAATAGTATTCTAGATTGCAGAAAATAACCACGCCATTCAAGTTCTATGTGTAGTAGGCTACACCGTTCATAATCAAGTGCTATGATCATGAAATACAGATTCTAATATGCTCCTGCAATTTATTGAATTTCGTGAACGACTTGCTTGGTTTATAAGTAGTTTATTTTCACATCCAATGACAATCAGCCTATCCCGATGGGTTCAATCTTCCACCCAGAAAAAATGATAGAGGAGAGGGGATGAATACAAAAGTCCAGTTTTTGCTTAAGCTTCCCTCTCGCGTTCTTCTTTTCATCTAAGTTTTACGTTTCAAAATTCTGTTTTTACTGTTGCTTTTTCTTCGCTAAGAAAGGCTTCCTGACAAGTTCGTTGTTTTGTAGAGTTCATTTTTTAAAGGTTTTCCAATAATTTGTTTAATTTATTTTCTTTGTTGCTCACCTGATTGCAATATATCTCCCTTATTACCATATTAACTAAAATACATTAAACCTGTAACATAGTTTTTGTAGCTATTATGTTTCATTAAACTGATTTTTAAACACGTATCTTTAAAGAAAAGGCGCTCATCAACACAGCCCTTACTGAGAGTTCCTAGTGTGATTGACACAGAAGGAAGTCATACGGAATGAGTTCTTTTGTAGCGATAGAGCCTAAATTATCGAACAGTCTGCCTCAAACTTTGAGCGAAAATTAAAATTATAAAATAATTCAAGAAACAATTAAAAACTTTTTTCTTTGAATAAATTTTAACACATCAGAGCGCAGTGAGCGTTCTAAAGTAGCATGGATATAAACGATATAGAAGTATTAAAGTAATCATCATTTGAAATATGTATATACTATTTGAAGAAAGTTAAGTCTTATGTTAATGTTAAAACAATGCTCAGATTAAAGAAGCTCTCTTTTCAAAGACATTGAACAAATAACAGACATCAATTGTCTGGACGAGAGGATTTTAAATGTACCATAATCTAAATAAATAGTTATCTATGTTAATAGTTTTACAAACTAATTACTGAACCTATAATTGAAAACTAAATATGACTTTAGGTATAGAAAGGATAACAATAGGGTAGACGATTTTATTAATTTATTTAAAACAGGTTGGGGAGTTGGTCATTTTTGCCTTAGGAACCACAAAATAATAAAGGAATGCATCTGATAAATAATTAACCTTCTTAGGTACATACATATCAGAGGTAGGAAATAGAATTTGTACTATTTTTTATGGATGGCAATATATTTACATTCAATGGCATTACATTAGAGAACAAAGAAATGTCAAATTCCCTTTTTTACAAATATGGGTATGATCTTTTTACCCATGCAGCAAAAGATAGGTCTCAAAATGAAGGAATGACTTTGATAAATATACTAACATCTTGGGAGATACATATAGGAGGCTGGAAATTAAATGTCTAAATTTTTACGAGGATGACAATATATTTAAATTATTTGGTATTACATTTGTAAGATAGAGATATCATATTCTTTTTTTTTAAATTATGAGTACGTTCATTTTGCCACAGGCAGACTAAGATACGTCTCAACAAAAAAAGGAGAATGAATTTGATAAATAATTAAGCTTGATGGGTACATAGGCCTTCCGGTTGGAGGTAGGAAATAGGATGTGTACATTTTTTACGTGGATGAAAATATATTTAAATCCTATGGTATTACATTTCTGAAAAAAGAGATGTTGAATTCTCTTTTTATAAATAAAAATATGTTTAGTAATTAAGAAAACAAATGGGCTTTACAAAACTTTGGTTCATTTATCTAAGTATTTTCATGGTTATCAAAACCCAATTATTTTTCACATTTGTAAAATTCATTTTGAAAACTAGAGATGGGTTAATATTAGTTTAGTTTAATTTTTGTTTTTACTTTGCAAGAAATAAAGAGCTATGTATTTTCACCAGATTAACAATTTAAAAAAAAAACTGACATTCAAATCTAATATAGGCGTGAAAAATGGTTGCGAGATTTTCTTAAGATAAAAGAATTCTTTATTTTAGGATCTTCTGATATCATATATTTAAAAAAAAAAGACAAAGGGTGTTAAAAATGTTGATGAAGATATCAATATGTATATCGATTTCTCGTGATACTGTGATACAAAATGCATGATCCAACCATCTAGCCGATCTTGCCTAAAGTTAATTTCTGGAAATATTGTATATAGCTCTTTAACTCGAAACGGTTATTTTAAAAAAAGATAAAATATAGAGAGCATGCAGTAAAATACTATGAAATAGCATGAGACTGCGGTCCATTCATGAACATTTAATAAACTTTTTCTGGTGCACACTTTAAAATAAACAAATATGGTTTTACCGTTCCAGAAAATATATTTCAACGGCCTGAATGTGTTTTGTGGTAATTTTATATTTAGATTTATACAATTAGAGATTCAAAACTTAAAATATATTTATGTTAGAAAGGTTACAAATAAGAGTTAATATTTTCTATAAATATAAGAAAATATAACCATCAGTTTCTCCTAAATACAGTTCAGGATGCAGTAAAAGTCCCTAGTACATTTTTATGACATCAATATTTTTTCTTCAGAAATACGATGAGTGTGTTTTACTATTTTACGCAAATGCAGGTAAAAATGCAAGGTATAGGGCAAAGTTTTATTAAGATAGCAATATCTTAAAATAGATATTTTTGTTACCGCTTATATTTTTTTATGAAATATGCCACAAGTATTGTTAAGGGGCTAAGCGAAACATTGAATACATTGTATAGCGGATACAAATGGCATCATATGCAAAAAGAAGGGGCTTAGCGAAATCATGAGTACATTTTATAGACAATATCAAAAGCCTCATACCTAATGATACAAACGAATAAATTCGTATATGAGCTCGCAGGTGAGTTCATCAAAAGAAATTCAAAATAAATTCATTGTATTGAGAGTTTAAATACAAAGGCACCCTGACGTATATTTTGTAGTGTACAGTAATCAAATTACTCATTTCTGGGCCGGGGACCAATTGCATTATTCTTTTATATAAGCCATATATGTATTTCTATGAACTGTCATGTAACCTCATATACATACAATCCTTTTTTTAAAAGGCCCTTTTTAAGTTACAACTTTCCATATACGTATTTTAAAACGTGGACAAATATTGGGACATTTTTTAAAGATAAAAATATAACAAAACCCGAATAAACTACAGGCGTGATACCGTAATTTCTTGACGTTGTATTTCAGTGTTGTAATGGAGTGGAAACTTTAGAATTGATAACACTTTGAAAGGCTTCTAAATAGATTGGGGATAGCAGCAAAACGTATGCTTCCCAAAAACCCGGGAACACACCGAGACATAAATTTGACATTGCAGCCCATAGCTCCCATAATTGTGCTAGATAATTTACTTCCGCGATCCACTCATCTAAATTGTCTTCTTAAAAACACTAGTAACAACTCTTCAGGTCGTGCGATAAGATATGAACCTGTTTGTTGGTTTTTTTTTTTTTTTTTTTTTTTTTTTTTAACTACGAAGGTTATTAAAGTAATCGATGCTGCGTTAAAAATTTTTTTTTTTTTTTTTTTTTTTTTTTTTTTTTTTTTTTTTTTTTTCTGTTCTTTTTTTTTTTTTTTTTTTTTCTTTTTTTTTTTCTTTTTTTTTTTTTTTTTTTTTTTTTTTTTTTTTTTTTTTTTTTTTTTGTAACTACGAAGGTTATTAAAGTAATCGATGCTGCGTTAAAAATTATTAAAGTATTCGAGTAATTTATGTGTGTGCGTATTTCACATATTTTAACAGCAACACATTTACAATATTGGTGGACTCTCAAGCGGCTGTCTCGGTAAAAGAAATGCATTTTTATGTTCTTAAGTAGAGTATGTTTTAGTAATTTGAAATTTCGCAAATACTTTGTTAAAAATATGTTCCTACAGTTGGGTGAAGTGCAAATATATTACTTCAGAATTTCATTATTTGACTAGCACTATTATTTTGTTTAGTTGTTTTCTTTTGTTTGAAATTTAAAATGCATTTGGTTAAATTATAGTAATTTTCAGAGTAAAATTAGGGCATGCGGTATTATATTTCATCTATCTATAAGATAATAGCCTTTTTCATTCACTGTAGAAATTGTATTTTAAAGATGAACATTATTGATTAAGGCCTTATTTATTTAAAGGCTAAGATAAATTTAAATAACAAGCTTTAATCATAACCTTTGGAACATTCCTGAAGTGTCCGTTCTACGACCAGATGGAGATCACTTTAATTTTTACCCCATAAAACATAAAACCATGGCTGGCTATGCAGTTTTAATTATCGGCTGAAATAATCTCTCTAGACGACATTTTTGTTGTACATTATGTTGTCTTTCTTTAAGTTCTCTTATTGTTCATTTCCTAAGACTTTAATCCCTACTTGTTAAAAAGGCTTTGCTCTTAATAATACAAAATCAGTATGTCGATTACTGAGTACTAGAGATTGCAAAGAAATAGAAACAAACTAAATACACCGTTTTATCCTTGGATTTTGTTGATGTCATAGCAAAAGCATTTGTAAATGTAAACTGTTTTCATCTAAAGGTAAAGGGGCGTTCGGTCTCTTTGTTTGCAACAATAAATATTGGAGTAAATACCCTGTTTGTTTTATAGATCCGGTCAGGATTTCTCAGTCATTGACTTTTGAAATCCTTTATTTGATTACCGTCTGGTCTCATTGAAATGGCCTCTTGTTAAGTAAAAGTTTCGTAAAAACATCAATAGTGCCCCACTTTCAATGTTAAGTCCATGCAGAGGCATACCACAAACGGATAGCTTGCTGCCTACTTGGGATTTGCAATGGCTTGTTAAATAAAATGCATGCTGGTATTGCATTTCAATTCAGATTAATTTCGTCTAAATAAATTTCTATAAATTCAAGTGATTCGTAGTTTTTCGGAGCCAGGATTTTTTGGTTAGCAATGCTGTCATCTTTTGAAAATAAGGACTTTGAGAAATACATAATTAAAAGTACATCTATTTTCAAAGTAGACTTGAGGTTTTTCGAAAATGTTTTCCTCTAAACGAGAATATTGAGCATTTTCATTTCCTAGTTTTAAAATCCAGTTGTAAAATCTTCGGTTTTCTGTAAAGAGATTGTCTTCATTGGCATTGTTATTTTGGTCTAAGTTTAGAACCAATGTTCCCTTAAGCCGCGCAGCTATCTCACAGACGCCACGCAGCAGTTTTGAGTATCTGCGCATCAAATTTCCATGTAAGTGTGTGTTTGTGCGCTGTAAAATGTTGCACACAAAAAAAATGATGCTGTAAAACTTTGCACAGAGCTGTAGGATTTTGCACTCGAACCAAAAAATCTTATAAGGAACATTGGTTAGAACCTGAATATTTTTTTCCGAACGCTTTCTATTTTTTATGTATAATGGAAGTATTTTGATTCTGTAGCCATGTCGTGATTTTGTCTAAAATCTCCCCCGAAAAGAAAGAGAGCACTTCTAAATCATTTTGAGAAGGGTCCTTTGGATCTTTGGCCTAATATTTCTTTATAGCGTGTGTCAAATGCATTTAATCAATGACGTGGGAGGCCATTGAAGCTACTTTACATATTATCACTTTGGCTTTTTCACTTCATTTATCGTATTGTTCCATGTCCAAAAATAAAGTTTTCAATAATTGGAACAGGCAGGATAAAATGGATGTGGGGAATTCTGACTCCATCAAGCAAAGTTGCTAAAATGCCTTTATATGTTCCTGAAAATATTTATTTATTTTAGAGACATACTTATTATATAATTATAGTGTTAATTGTGGTAATGTAAATCAATTATTTAAAAAAAAATGATGTTTGGTAATTTAGTATTTTCGATTTTTTACTTATAATTATGTCATAAATTCTGGGTTTTTTATATACTAAGCATTGGGAAATTTTTTTCGAACATTGACTTGTTGGCTAACGATTGTTACATATGTGAAGGATAGATTCCATCGTCATATTGTTAGGCTAAAATCTGCCAGAATTTCCAGGTTTTCGAATGAAACATTTATTTCTTTACGTTTCAAATTGTGAGCCTCTTTCCCTAAAAAGCGAATCTTATAGACTTTAATTGTATATGTCGAATAATGCCATTGAATCACCGTGTGACATCCACTTTCTCCTCAAAGTAAACACATTTGCCATCATGTTGACTTTGATATTTTTGGTAACCATTGACACTTGTTTTGTTTTGGCAAAGAAAACCTGTGGGAATTCTTTTTTGCTTAGTCGTTTTTCAAAGACGGTCGTTTTGATTCAAATATAACATGGTTCGTGTATCACAGAGGATTTTTTAATTTTAAGTACACTCGTTTGGTGAAGAGGCTCAGGTTAGGCAGAGACAATTTTTCACAAATTTTACTCTAACAGGCTTATGAATAGCATATCAGCTTTTGGTAGCAACAGTTTTGGAATTTATCACGTAGAGCATAGCGCTATCCTTTCCAAATATTTGGTGTTTGGTAAAGATTTTAAGTTTCAAATTGATGACTAGAAAGGAAGAGCTCCCTGATTTCATTATATTTAAAAGCACCCATGAAAGTCCAGAAAAATTATAATTATATTTTTAGTTTTTTTCTTGCAATCCAGGCAATATTTTCACATAAAAATGTTAGTGGTTTACAAATAGGTGAACGGACATCCTAGTATTGATCGTATTGCTTCAATTCGTTCTAAACAGATTCAAATAGTTTGTTTTAATCTTGAAATCTGGACACAAAATAAATTGGTGAGTCAGCTTTCCTACGTTGAGGAACTGGTTAAAGTTTCCATCATGAAATTCAAAATGGTATAAATACCATTGAAGCTAGGAAACAATTTCTATACCATCAGCTTTCTACGGATATGGATAATTCAAGCTCATACCAGCAAGAGCCAGTATAGGAGCTGCTCATTCCTTCCCAGGACAATCAGGGACTGGAATAAGCTCTTAAAAGGAACAGTTGAGGCGATAACAGTATACTCATTTGTGTCTAATGCCTCAAGCCTTCAAACCCCAAGTCCAAGATTCCCTCACAAAGTGGCACTGGAAATCAGTGAAAGGTCCTTTTGCACACCAGGCACAGAAACATTGCAAATCCCTCTACATGCGTAGGAGCCAAAATGGTCAATAAATTGGTCGTGGGCCCTTAATATATAGAAGAAGAAGATACTCTGGTGTCAGCGTCCCAGCTTTTACCTGGGCTCTTTATTAAGTTATGTCATGTTGGCATGTACCCCTCTGGGGTCTGCTCTGTCTTTAGATAGTTCGTATCACTTTGTTCTAACTGTGACTTGACAGTCCTTGTTTTTAACTATAATTTTGCATTTTAATCGCCCTTGATGTTTTATTTTCTTGGAGCTAATTACCGTAACTTTACCATTAAAGCTTCAACCAAGTTGGTCTTACTTGCTTCCTCATTCATGATTTCAAGAGCAGATCTTAAATCAGAAAGAAAAAAAATCTCGGTGGATTCCACTAGCTCCCACTCCAGCATACTTTCCAGAGCATAGTCTCTAGCACTGAAAGAAAACTCGAAACAGTGTTCATACAGATTAATGAGTTTTCCTTGTTTGGTTGCCCTCAATTAGGTAGAGGTCAAGTACACTGTACCAAATATTTCTTTCTCTCAGGCTTGCTATGCCATACACAAACTTCTTCTCTGGCCTTTCAACAAATTATTAAATGATTTTGAGGAGAGCTATTTTCTAAACATGTGCCGTCATTTCTATATCATTTAGAGCAAAATTTATATGAAGACTGGAAGTTCTGTTTATGCTAGGCTAACTGAGATGGGGTCATATTTTTATATATATGTGTGTGTGTGTGCTACAGCCTAAGCCCGAAATCACCCGAAATTCGAACTGGTCAGCCAAATCGAGAAGTGGCCCATATCGCATCACATTGATCGGCCAATGTCCAAACTTTTATTTATTTCGGGATTTGGCGAGCATGGTAGCGAATTGGCATTTGGCGATCGGTTAAAGTTAGAAGAAAAATGTCATAAACAGACCATGTGTGTGTGTGTACCGTAATGATAATCACATCATATTTATTATAGTAGATTAACAAATCAGTCAGAGTAGTTTATTTTAGTAGATTATCATTCTCTACCATCACTTGTTAAAACGAAACGATATTTTATAAAATTTCGAAATACACAGCAGTTTCTTATTTTTACATATGCGATGATTTCATGAGCGCTTGATAGTGCAATTGCATCGAAAGTAGCCTTGGCCACCGGTCAGTGATTGTGAAGACTTGAAGGTTCGTAGGGATTTTTTATTTTATTTTTGTGTGTGCCCACGGATGGCAATGGGATCAGTTTCTCGTGCAGACTTGAAAACACACTTCTCAAATACATTTGTTTTTTAACACCGTGTTCAGTTCCTAACTTTTAGAAAGCGCACTAGACGTGTATATAACTGCGAAGATGCTTCGTGGATCAACGCGACCTCTTTCAACATCTGGTACATGGATGCATACATTATCTTCGCAGCTTGGAATTGTGCATCTGATGTGTTTCTAAATATCTGCATCTTAAGTTTGCAAACGAGCTTTAATGGCTTACCTCTCGCTCTTGATTATTATTTTATTATTATTATTAGATGTTTTTAAATAGCAAAGTCCCCCAGCAAAAGGCTAGCCTCACAGCGCTTCAAGTAAAAATTATCAATTACAGAAACGATAAATTTAAAAACATCAATTAGTGAAATGCTTGACCTCACCCACCCAAGTACCATCTACCCATGTCTTGCCATTTACAGCACCAAGCCGCATCGAGCATGTTTATCAGTCAGATAGGGTAAGAATTAGTGAGTATAGTGCTGTTTGAAGAGATGGGTCTTTAGTGGAGTCTTGAAGAATGTGATGGTCGTTATATTGCTGATGAGTAATCGGAGAGATTTCCTTTAGTTTAGGGCACACATAGATAAAGAACGTTCATGATATGTTTCAGTGCTTTTTCTGGGAACAGAAAGAATACGCATGTCTGTAGAAAAACGAAGCTTTTGAATGAGTGTATAGACAGTACGAAGTTCAGTAAGAGAGGAAGGGCAGAAACCAGCAAAAAAGTAGTGACAGAGAACAGACATTTTATAATCAATGCTTGCCTGTATAAAGAGCCAATGAAGTGAGTGGCGTAGTGGTGACATGATCACGTTTCTTTGCATTTAGAACTAACATAGCAGCTGAGTTTTTGTGAACATTACATAGAGAGTTAAAATAGTCAAGACGAGAAAGAACAAGAGCACATACTAGTGTTTTGTTTGCGATAACTGTAAGGTAGTGCCACGGTGGAGCTGATCTGACGCATAGCTGTGTTCACACAGCGACAGATGTGAGAAAGATGATTTTTGAGAAATATTTCGTCAGAAAGAATGTAAAGAAGATAATGACATAGTCTTCAAGTAATTTTTTGATCTCTGCCTTCGTCTTCTTCCTTACTTATTCAACAAATTGCGTGGACATCGATGCCGCAGGATCAATAACAATGCCGTACATTACATTCTTTGTCACACACTACAAAGAATCTGTTTGCATTATTATTACTCTTGCGTTAGCTTATTGAATTTTGGCCAGAGATTTCCCGGCACTTCGGGAAGTGACCGGCCAAAGTACCCTATGCACTAGCAATTTCCAGTACATCGGACAATGGCCACAAGCCTCGGCCAAATGCGAAATGGCTGAACTTAGCAACATCGTAAGTATTTCAAGTAGGTGAACTGTTAAAATTAAAACAAGAAGCTGGATATTCTTGATTGCATTTCGAAGTATATGGCTTAATACTGTTTTACCAACATGATAAAATATGTTTAGACTGAATTTATAAATGGATAACGATATTATTAGTGGCAGGCCAAATGAACAAATTATTCAGGCCGTATTATGCAGACTACTGATTAAGAATATTTAATCTAATACAGAAAGTGTAAAGTAAGTGAAGGTTATTAAATCAAACAAGTGTAAATGACGAGGATCAAAGCATTCACAATAGTCAAAATATTCCTGAACATAAATTTACAAAATAAAATAAAATTCAAAACGTTTCAGATACTTTGAGGTAACATTATTGCAGGATCATTTACATTTTGTCGACATTTTTTTATTATTTTTCATTGAATTGGTCAATACAGTGATTTCTTCACATACATTGATTAATACAAACACTAAATGAAGCCCTGTTGTTGTTTTATTCCAAAGTGAACAAGACGCAAAATGTATAAACCAACTCTGACTTTCACCGGATATGTAGCTACAGTCATCTATCTTTATATCTTAATTTGTAGTAGAGGTAAGACTACTCTTTGATAGGATTAACAATGACTAATTTTGGTGATTAGGTGTATCGTGATTACCTTGCACATTTAACTATAATTATACTTATACGAAAATAATTTTAAATCCGTAACATAAAAACTCAAATCAAAGAGTTACGAAACAAAATATTTTATTTACAATGAAAACCAGGGGCGTGAACTTAATCATTATCGCAATTTGCTCTAGGACAATAATCGTATGCTTTTTATATCTAATTTAAAAAAACAAAACAGTTAATACCGGATTTTCTGCAGAAACATTTTCAATAAAAAGTAATTTCCAATCATCACGTTTTTTTAATTCATCAAATATTGTTTTGCTTATGCTACTGTCTATATAAACTAACTTCTTGAACGCATGGACTTTCGGATTTTAGCAACATGGTCCTAGAGTTGATAAGGATAACAAAAATCATTTCACTATAAAAAAGAATAATTGTTGACCACTTATCTGTTCATATTCTCAGTTTGAATTATTCTTTTTCGCCAACATAAAATCAATACATTTGTATAAAAAGCCATCAAAACAATTGTGATGTCTTCATGAAATGTGGCATTTAATACGATTCCATAATCATGTTTTACATAAACTTTAACATAATCTATTTTATTTTAAGGAGTCCAGACCCCTGCCTTTACTAACTCGTTATATTCATGATACGATGCAGTCTGATTGGTATAGCATCGTTACAATACAATGGTTTTCATGTAATTTTAATTCTTGGTTTGTGTACCGGCCCCTTTAAAATAAAAAAAAATTAAAAATAAAATAGATTTCTAATCATCGTGCAATTTTCCTAATCAAGGTTATATTTACATATACATTCATTATTTTTACTGTTTTTCGGTAGTTTTTAAATATATTCGTGAATAAAATATGTGTTAGAAGCTATTTTAGTCCTTCAATATTTTATTGTTAATCAACTCAAACAAGCCGGTTAATATCAATTGTGCATGTATGAAAACTAAAGTTTTGGTAAATAACATATAATGATTAAACATACAAATAATCTCAGCAAGTGTCATGATCTTATTATAATTTAGGATTTCGCTTACAAATATTTTTATAACCCCTTTTTAAATTGTTTCCACAGTTCAAGGTCAATCGGTGCATCTAGATCCGACTTCTGTAGGAAGTATTTCTACTTGTTCAAGTGGTCTAAGAGATGGACTGGACTCTTATTCAGTTAGAGGCAGTGTGAATGCTACAACTGCAAAATTTTCAAATTTAGTTGATTTTTATATCAGGACTGCATCTTTTAAAGATTTTATATATGTAAGTAAGTTAAAGAGTTATTTCTTTGCTCGTATAATCTTACACTGGTAAAATGTATTTCTGGATAATTTCTCGGAAAAACAATACTCTTGACAACAAGTATAAAGGTACAGTGTCAAGGTTTAATTTGGCGCAGGGATTTTTCAGAAGCGGGGTAGCTCAGTGGTAGTGGGTTTGTTGACAGCACCGGTTTGCACCATATCAGTTGTGACACTAATTTAAAAATTGCATGCTCCTTCCTAGAAACTTTGTCTAATGTCTCTACTGATGGGTTTTCAACATCAAAATCAATTTTTAACAGGCAAAATATAACACTAAGTTTTATAAAAAATGTAACCTTTGGGAACACACTAATTTAATTAAATTTAAAGAAAATTGTAACTAGTTCTGTTTATTGTATCGTAAAATGTTATCGTGTACTCAAATTTAGTCTGACTAAATTAAAGTACACAGTGCAACACTCAATTTATTATTGGTGTAATAAAAATTATGGATTCAAATTATCCTCAGAAAAGCTACCTAATTTTTTTTTAAATTTAGAGACTTGAGAAAAATAATTATAATATGGATTCAAATATCGCGGACGAGCTACCCCAATTTTGTTAAAATGAGAATATGGGACTAATGAGAATAAAATATGGATTCAACTATCGGTGGATGAACGTTCCATAAGCTACTAGTAGACATACTAACCATGTTTAATTGGTAGAGTGGTAGGAAACACGATACTTCAAAGACTAAGCCATCCCCACAACAAACGATACCTACTGCTAGGGATCTAATTTGGGTCAAGCAAAGTTCAAGCACGGAAAAAAAGTTTACAACATAAAAGTATTTTGTCCGTTCCCAAGACACGTTCTGAAACATATGGTGAAAGATCTTTCTCTTTCTGTTCCGGCAGATAATGGAATTATTTGCTATTACACATCCGCAATATACCAGCCAACCAGGCCTTCAAAGTGTTGGAAATTGACAAAATACTGAATGTTGCGCATTGTTTTGCACACCACATTTTGTATTGTGTATTGACGTCATGTTGTTATGCAGTCCTTGTCGAGTGCTCCATGTTTATGGGACTCCATGTTGTTCTCTTAAAATTAAAACGTGGAACTAACCTTGATGGTTGCCATTGCTTGTTTCATTATCTTCCTTGTGAAGTTGGATTAGCAACTTATATATTTTGAAGTGGATTAGCAACATAATATTTTAAACAGGTTATGGGCCCAGGTAGCATTATCCTGTGCTAAGCTGTTGCTGATTCGATTTTTGTGTGGTTTGTATTCGGAATCGGTGTTCGCAGAATTATCGGAATGGCAAACATGAACACAAGCATCATTCCTCTTGTTGGTGCAAATTGTTCGACCTGGAAAATTCAATGCCAGATGGCCTTAATGAAGGGTGGACTCTGGGGGATTGCTACTGGGTCTGAAATTGCACCTGACGAAGCTGAATCAGATAAGGTTGCTAAATTTACTTTAAGGAGAGATAGGGCTTTGGCTATCATTGTGTTGGCGTTGGAAACTTCCTTATTGTATTTAATCAGCAATCCAGTTGAACCCAAGATTTTCTGGGAAAAACTGAGGGATCAGTTTCAAAAGAAGACATGGGCTAACAGACTGGCGCTGAGAAGGAGATTAATTACAATTAGAATGAATGATGGGGACTCTGTGCATGAGCACATTAAAACTCTAACGGAGATTTTCAACGAGCTTGCTGTGGTAGGAAATGCCGTTGATGAAGAAGACAGGGTGGTTCACCTACTTGCTAGCCTTCCCAACTCCTTCAATATGTTTGTAACTGCTCTTAAGGCTTGCTCAGAAGTTCAAAAGATGGAACTTGTAACTGAACGATTACTTCACGAAGAGCGAAATATATCACAACGAAGGGAAGAAGTACCAATTAGAGCACTTGTGCCGAAGGAAAAGACAATTAAGAAAGGACCCCAGTGTTATTATTGTAGGAGAATTGGACATATTAAAAGAGATTGTCCTGAGTTAAAAGGCAATATCAGGCAAACATATTTACAGACAAAATAAGGCAAATCCCACTGAGATTAAGGCTAGGAGATGCTCAAGTAATGAAAGTGTTGGACTGTCAATGAGGCATCGGCATGCATTAACTACAGGCAATGGTGTCCTGACATGGATTATTGATTCTGGAGCAACAAGTCATATGTGTTGCAGGAGATCTGAATTTGTCCATTTGACATACTTGGAAGAGCCTCTGTATATAGGACTCGGAGATGGACGGAATCTGAAGGCCTGTGGTGTTGTCAAACTAAGGATGAAGTTGCCTGGTAATAAGCACCAAGAATGCACGCTGCATGATGTGCTTTATGTGCCTGAACTCAAGTTTAATCTGTTCAGTGTTGACCACGCAATTGAGGCTGGAAAGAAAGTTTATTTCAATATCAAAGGTTGTGAAATACAATATAATAACGGTAAACTTCTGGCAAAGGGAGTGCTGTAACATGGTTTATACCATTTGTGTCATTATGCCAAGGAACATCAATGTAATACAGGAAACGGAGGTAAAGAAACAAGTGAGGAACTGTGGCATAGACGATACGGACACCTAGGTTTTGAAAATCTCAAGAAGTTGGCTGGTCTAGTGGATGGTCTTGAGTATGATGAGCGGTCAAATAGGTAACTGTGTGAACCATGTGCAAAGGGCAAATATCACAGGATCAAGTTTCCGTCGAGTGGAAGGGTAAGAAATGGAATACTTGACCTGGTTCACAGTGATGTCTGCGGGAAGGTCAGCACACAATCACTTTGGTGGAGCTCACTATTTCCTTACTTTTATTGACGATTTCAGTCGATACACTTGGGTCTATATCGTTAAGCACAAGGATGATGTTTTTAAGTGTTTCCTTGAATGGAAAGCAATGGTTGAGAGGTCAACTGGAAAAATCTTAAGGCCCTACACACCGATAACGGTGGAGAGTTTACTTCAAATGAATTTGAAGGTAATTTAAAGAAAGAGGGGATCCGTCATGAACTGACTGTTCCGAAAACCCCAGAACAGAATGGAGTAGCAGAGAGGAAGAACAGGATTATTGTGGAAGCAGCACGTCCCATGCTGGCTGAGGCAAAGCTCCCACGAAAATTCTGGGCAGAATCAGTGTCAACAGCTGTATATCTGCAGAATCGAAGTCCTGTTAACGTTCTTCAAGGTATTACTCCATTTGAGGTATTTGCTGGTATGAAACCCAAAGTCGATCACCTGAAAGTGTTTGGATGTGTTGCGTATGCAAACATTCCTAAAGACGAAAGAGAAAAGTTCGATTCAAAAACATAAAAACACAGAATCGATGTCAAGGGTTATCGCCTTTACAATTTGAAAACTAATAGGGTGATTCACAGCAGAGACGTTCTGTTTAATGAAAACAAGTTCGGTCTTTAGAAGGAGGCTAAAATGTCTCAGAAACCTATATTTCGGGAATTCATTGACGATGATGAAGAAGTAGAGAACACGTTCGGTCTTGAGAAGGAGACTGGAATGTCTCAGAAATCAACACCTGTGTATCGGGAATTCATTGATAATGACGTCGATGAAGAAGTGAATCGTGTTGAGTATCCTGATGATGAAGGTGTTGATGAACCAGATGAGGAACTAGATGTCAGATGATCAGCGAGAGTTAAACGCCCACCAAATCGATATGGTGAGTGGTTAAACTTGACTTGAGATCTGGAAGAACTCAGTACAGCGAGACAGGGCCATGGCGAGATCAAGAAAACGAAGTCTGGGACTTAGTAGAACTGCCAGGAGGAAGAAAAGCTGTAGGAAGCAAATGGGTGTTTAAGATCAAAGTAAATGCTGAGGGAAAAATTGAGAGACATAAAGCTACGTTAGTTGCTCAAGGATACTCACAGAAGTATGGATTGGACTATGATGAGACATTTTGTCCAGTTGTTAGACCTGAGTCAGTTTTTTTTTTTAATTTTTTTTTTTTTGCTGGCATCCGTCCGTCACAATGTGACGATGGAGTGGGCTTCGTAGGACGAAATCCACATAGCCTGGGATTATTATACTTGAAGGATTATAAGCTGGGTCCCAACAGCAAATCGCCTCTCTCCACGCCGCTGGGTAGCCCAAGGGAACATCATTGGATGATACAGCTTGGCACCAGTGACGTCGCAGGAGTTGTCGGAATGTTTCATTGTATCAATGTTATCCGCCTTTCGGGACTCCATCTCCGGGTTTGATTTCAGAGTTTCCTTCTCTTAGATGAGTTGCCGTCCAAGGTTAACGAGTCCCATCTACCCGGGGTGCTGGTGGTGTTTTTGCTCTAGCTGGAATTGAACTCCAGACCACCAACTTGAGATTTGCTCAGTTTAGACCACTCTGCCACCCAGCACCCAGACCTGTATTGACGTCATGTTGTTATGCAGTCCTTGTCGAGTGCTCCATGTTGTTGGGACTCCATGTTGTTCTCTTAAAATTAAAACGTTGAACTAACCTTGATGGTTGCCATTGCTTGTTTCATTATCTTCCTTGTGAAGTTTGATTAGCAACTTATATATTTTGAAGTAGATTAGCACATAATATTTTCAACACAAAGCTGCACACAAAACACATCTCTTTAATTTATACTACCCTTCATGATTATATCTCTTTTGATAATACTTTTATATATAGCACTGTGAGCCCAGCCCTACACTGTCGAAATAAATTTCACTCCTGTGTATCTCTGTGTCAAACAAATAAATTATTGATTCAAACATAAATTCAAGGTTATGATTTTTATAAAATACTTTCCAATTAAATCTGTTTATTTTTGTTCAGTTGTGTACTGCCAGTTTGGTTACTTGCGTCACACCAAATCCTCAACCCTGCTACTGTGCTGTAAAGACTGGAAATATATATGAAATACTTGCTAACAGATCAGCAGTTCTGAGTGACAGTAATGCTGCAATTAGGATCCAGTGGGATAGTTCTTCTGGTGGTAGCGTTGTTAGCAATGAACTACAAGTACCTAAAATATATGGTAATTCTTTTTTTAATGTATTACTAATCATTATTCTAGTCAATATGATTAACTGTTGTATAAAAAATTCAATTCTAAAAAAGACTTACAAAAAATTAATAAAACACTGCAATTTTTACTATAATTGAATTCCAATAACTCTTTTGTTGACAATGGCAGCTATTGCTGCCGTTTATTTTGCATGTCCCTTAACGTTATAACTTAATATTGTGACTTTGGATTTCTTTCTTTCACATTAATTTTAGCTTGAAGGAATATGGCTTTATAGTGTTTAATTTTTCTTTTTTTTAAATGTTTTTATTTTAGGTTCGAAACAAATATAAATTTATTTGGTTTACTTTGTAAATATTTATGTTTATACGCATATTGCTAACATTTTGATGACTTGAATATTTATAAACTTAAAAGAGTTTAATTTTAAATCTCTTAAAATCATTCAGACTACATAGCATACATCTTTTAAAAAAGTGATGATTAATCTTATTAAATATTCGTGAGTATTGATTTCCCTTTGTTAACTCTTATAGTTGAGAAAACCAAGCATGTTAATGTTTAGCTGAGAGATTTTGGGAAGCAGTGGTCGTGAAGTGGACAAACAAATGTTTCGGAAAGCAGGCAACATGCATACTTTAGAAATAAGGCATGCACAGTCTAAACAAACTCTCACAATAAGTTCTCGATGATTAAAGACCTTCTCGGGAACAAGTCAGAACCACCTTTTATACGTGACATGACATCCAGCATGCTGCATTTGAAATGAGCAAGTAATCAGAAAAAGCTTTGGCAAACGTTGAGATGTGTCTTCAGTAGAAACATGCCTTTGAAGACACATCTCTAGTTGATTTCTTACCAGGTCCTTTGAAAGGTTAAGATGTATAATCATGGAATCTAAACCTGCATCTCCTATTGTTGACTCCATTCCTAATAATATTGATTTGGGCGTTCTGGAAAATAATGGTTAACTTGGGAACGGTAGCCTTCAGTCAAAAAGTGTCAGTGTCTCTGACTAAAACAAATGGCCTGAAACCAAATGATAAGAATTATCACCCTGTCACTAATCTGCTCTTTGTATACATTATTCTTAAGGGAGCTGTTCACAAAAGTTTGATCAGGATCTTAACACTTATAACCCGCTTGATAAGTTTTAATCTACTTATCGACTTTGACAGAGTTTTGTTACGGCACTACTAATTTTCATGAATGATGTTTTGAAATACCATAATCTTCTTCTGTCAAGATTTCTGAAAGAAGCGGGCATCTCTGGAACTGGACTTCAATTGTTTACTTCTTATCCGACTGACAGGACTTGGCTTTTTGGAGTGAATCATGCATCTTCGATGGACAATTTACTTTTCTGAGGCACGCAATGGCTCAGTTTTAGGATATATCTTAGTATTCATATACACTAGAAAACTAGGCATATTTCTTAAAAGTGGTATTTCCGAATATATGCGGATGACACAGACTGGCACACGTGGTTTAACCCTGAACATTTGGGTTATGTTTATGCTTTTCAGACTATCGAGGACTGCGGTTATGGATGGTATAAAAATACTTAAATTAAATGACGATAAGATTGAGGCATCTATGTGGCTCTGAGGCCCATCTTTGGAAGGTTGCGATCACATCAATTAAAGTTGGTGCCTTTGAGTTCTCGTTATCCAACACTTTTAGAGACCTACGCTTCCACACTAACAGTAAACGCACCATTATTTATCAGATAAGTTATGTGATCAGTGCCTCTTTCTGCCAACTTCAGGACCTTTGTCAGCTGCATCCTCAACTTAATAAGACAATAGTCTTTGACATAGCAGTCAGTCTAATCCAATTATGATTAGATTACTGTAACTGTAGTTTTTAGGTTTACCTCAATACCAAATTGAGAAACTCCATCATTGTGCACAGGAAATGTTCCAGCAGACTGGAGAACAGCGCATGTCACTCCAATCTACAAGAAAGAGGAGCATTCCAGCCCTGCCAACTATCGTACGATATCCCTCACCAGCGTGGTCTGCAAACTGTTAGAGCACATAATCGTAAGCACTGTTTAGAAACATCTTGGAAGCCAAAATATACTCAATGACTGTCAACATTGCTTCCGAGTCAATAGATCATGTAAGACCCAGCTTCTTGAATTTGTAGAAACATGATGATCAATCTGGAGAACCACAGAGACTGACTTGCTGGTAATGGACTTCGCAAAGGCATTTGACCGTGTGAATCATAGTTTGCTTCTACAGAAACTCCAGAAATATGGGATCAAAAGAACCACTCAAACATGGATCTCTAGCTTCCTCAGCCACTGACGCCAAGCATTAGTGTTGGGCGGTACAAGCTCCTCCTTTGTCGATGTGAAGTCAGTGGTTCCCCAGGGATCAGTGCTGGGCCCCTGTTTGTTCCTAGCATACATTAATGACTTACCAGAGAAACTGATATCACAAGCAAGACTGTTCGCAGATAACACAGCGGTGTATAGGACGATAGCCAACAGATCTGACCAGGACCAGCTACAACAGGATCTCAATTTGTTAGCGACATTGAATTTCTCCCTGCCAAGTGCCAGACACTATCAGTCTTTAGAAGTTGTACTCTTCTACACTACCAATATGAACTGCACGGCCATATACTTGAGCCAGTTTCCTCCGAAAAGTATCTGGGTTTTATCATTCAAAGAGAATTACTATTAACAATGTATGTAACCAAGCAAACAAGATCATAGGGTTCTTAATGCGAAATCTAAAGATTGGCAACTCCTGTGTGAAAGAAATAGCATATAAAGCCTTTGTCCGTCCGGTTTTAGATTGTGCATCTTCAGTATGGGACGTCAGAGGAGCGTTGAAAGGGTGGAAGCGGTCCAGCGACGAGCGGCACGCTTTGTCCTAAACAGCTACAGGAATACCTCTAGTGTTGGCAGCATGCTGGAAACACTAAACTGGTCACCATTGGAGGAACGACGACGACAATGCAGGCTCTCCATGATGTAAAAGAAAATTATGGACTGGTCCACTGTTCCAGTATTACACAGAAACTCGTCCCTCTCCCCCATAGACAGCGACCAGGCCATGACAGGCAATTCAGTCTCATATCAGCAAGAAGCCAGCATAGGAGCTGCTCATTCCTTCCCAAGAAAATCAGGGACTGGAACAATCTTTCAAAAGGAACGGTTGAGGCGACAACACTAGACACATTTGTTTCTATTGCCTCAAGCCTTCAAACCCCTAGTGCATGATTTCCTTACAAAGTGGCACAGGAAATTAGTGAATTTCCTCATCAACACCAGGAACTGAAACATTGCAAATCCCATCTACATGCATAGGAGCCAAAATGATCAATAAATTGATCTTGGGCCCGTAAGATATAGAAGAAGAAGAAGGTACAAAATACTATAGCAAACATTGTATTTCAGTGTGTAAACGCATTGACCACAAAATTATGTCAAGAAAAATCAATGTACATGTATATCTAAAATAACTAATTTCCAAACATGTATCACTAAAGAACCTGCGCTGCATCACGGTATATACTTAGAGTTTCCTGTGTCAAATAATACAACAAGAAGTCATACGGAGTGTGCCTCTTTTGAAGTTATCGTTGCTAAATTATGGAATTGTTTGCCTCAATCTTTGATGGAAATTAAAATGATACAAAATCATTTTATGCTCACAAGCGCTATTGAAGTAGTCAATAATTATCATTATCATAGTTAAGAAAGAATGACAATTATGACAGATTGGGAAACAACGTATATTCTGTATTATTCGTTCTTAACCTTGACCTCAGGGTTTCGCCATTATAAGCTTACCATAAGTTACTGTAATAACGTTTGAGAGATTTGTCATCAGAATTTTATATTAAATTTTACAACAGATTTTGCTGTAAATATTTCTGTAAGAAAATAAAGTTATCATTAAGTTATCTTACTCACTTTTCTTTAAAAGTTTATATTTAAAATTTTAAAGTAAAGATCATTTGAAAAGGCAGCAGCTGAGTATGTTAATATGTGTTTAGGTTTAACATTGTTTGAAGTTCAACATAATTATATAAAGGTAAGATAGATTCTTTAATGTGGCCCAGAATTAAACAAAAACAAGATGATAGAGCTTTTCTTGAACAAAAATTATTATTTATTACAATATTTCAATCAAATAAATATTTTTTTTTCCCTAGATGTGAATTATGTTACAACAAGATTGACAATAAATGATGTCAATATGACCTGTCCCGCAATCGTTGCTCATGGATCAGTTATTAAGTTCCAATGTGAAAATTCTCCCAGTCCTTGTGACATTTTCATTGCTGTAAACCACACAGAGGTAGCAAATGGTGAACACAATGCTACCTACACAGTTCCCACCGATCTAAAGTTGTATTCAGAACACAATTTTACATTTAGTTATTCTGTTTGTGGAGGAGCTATAACATCTAAAACATGTCCAGTGACTATAGGTAAACATATTTTTATGGTTTTATATATTATTTTCTTCTTGTCAGAATTGATAAGAGCTACACAAAGCTAAAGGAAACTGGTGCATACTTTTTAAAAACTATTTATTTTCTAAATTAGTCTAAAATATTGCATATTTAAAAAAATCACCTCATATTGAAAGAATTATTAGAACAAGAGGTGTGCAATTTTGGAAATATTTTTTTACAATGTTGTTGAGAGCTTTTCTCCGTGATCACAAGAATACACAGGGAAATAAATTAGACACCAACGCATGAGACATAAATCACTGTTAAAGACAATTACACTTATAAAAGCAAAACAAAAGTGTAACAGTATTTCTTTAAATACCATTTATCTTGACTTTACATTGCACTTGAACCTTGTCCTTGTTGCATACTGAAACACCATCGCAAACATACGCCCTAGAAATTTTGCGACAAATAGAATCAACAGGAGAAGAGAGGCCATCGTTTTACTTGTCTTGCACTAAAAAAATCTGCTAACATTCTGACAAGCCATCAGCAGTGCACAGACATACACACATTTAATAAATCTTAAATTGGCAAAAACCTTTAAAAAATTAGACTACTTTTTAAAAAAAATTACACCTTTTAAATTTGATAAAATAATGTAACAACCAGTCAATTTTTAAAAGTAAATTTTAAATCAAGAAAACAGGATTAATGACTTCAAATGTCTAGCCCGCTGCCTTTTGTTCACACTTTTCAATCATTCCCCCCACCCCCCAATTTGTTGACGCAATTATTTGACTACCTGTAAGTGAAAAGGGAATAATCTTACACCATTTAAGAAAAGATTCAAACCAAACTTGTAAAGGTAACGTAGTGACCAAGAGTTGATTTTTTTGGTTTTAATTATTAGGTTAAAAGATCGTTTGTACCGGTACCGAGTTTCTTGGTTCTTCATTATTCAATCATATATATCATGATAATTGTTATTCTCAATCAATTACTATTCACTCGGGAGAATATTAATAAAATTAAGACTTCATATCAAATTACAGTTATAATTGTAGGCAAGAGTTATTATAATCCTATAGTCGATATAGGCCTAAGCTTAATATTTTGTAAAATTATTCTACTAATATTAATACTTGCATGCCTAATAAAAATAAGTTTTAAACAAAAAATTATTTATGTATACAAATATTGATTTTAAATAATTGTTAAGTGAAGTAACTTAACCTACTTACTGTGTGTCTTTTACTTTAAGTCTTAGACTTTGTCCAGTTTTCTTATATAGGCTATATTATATTATTAGAATCAGATAAGTGTTTAAACTATTAACATATCAGCCTTGTTTAGATAATATATTTAAAATATACATGTTTATATATTTATATATTAGTTTACATATAACAATTTTTTTTAACAAACATCAATTTAATAAACACAACTCAAACAACATCATCGTAGTAATTCTATTTTTATTAGGACATAGAAAAACGGCCACATAGGAAATTATTTAAAATATCAAATAACTTGTTTTAAATTGATTTTATTCTACATTAAAATGAAAAAGCTTGCAATACAAAGTGTATATTTGATATTATGATTCGATGTTAATTCTCAGGTACAAAAGAATTTTAAAAAAATTCTATGAAGATATTTGCTGATATTAGTTATCAATTGACTGGGTATTTTATTACACTTATGATAACTTGATGTGCCAGTTATGACTGTAACGTTTTTGATTCAGCCAAATATCAACGCTGCAATTGGTAAACAACAACAGGGTGAACAGTTCTAAGAGCATTACATTTCCATTAAAAATGCGTATTTAAATAACCATGCACTATTGCTTGCCTACATTACATATTAGTATGGTGTTTATTTCAAATGTTATCTTTTAAACATGTTCTTGATTTACAAAGAATAAATCGTTTGCCTTTATTTGATGGTAAATATACTAAAGGTAACAGAAAATATTCATTGCTCGTGTTATGTGATGACCATTTGTAATCACGAGAAGAACACTCTATCTGTAACGAAAAGTCTAATTTATAGCCACAATTCAATGTTCTTTTTCATTATCATCATTTTAATCATCATGTTTCTTAGTCATTGGATCGTTGGGTCACCACAGATAACATGAAAACTATCATCCTCCATTCATCACTGTTTTTTGCACTTCACACAGCGTCGCCTACTTTTATTTCCGTCCACTCTTTGATGTTATCTTCTAATCTTTTTCTCTAACTTCTTATCCCTCCTCTTGTTGTACCCTGCCTTATATTCATTATATAATTAATTTAGTTTCCAGATAATTTTAATGGTTATAACTTACATACATTTTTTTATATCTGTATTAATTACTTCATACAATACAAGTCACATAATTGTATCAAAATATAACAATGATAAAAATGTTGTTGATGTTTAAATTATTTTAAACAAATATATTAAATGTTATTTATATTTTTTTTAACATGAAGCATTATGTAACTTTTACATTTAAAATTCACAGATAAAAATGTACTGAGCAGAGTGTGACAGTAAAAGAAACCAATTATACTGTTAACGGATTTGGTGTTACTGCTGGCCTAGCTGTATTTATCTTACTGGTCTCTAACATGCTCTTTATGTTTTGGAGGAGACAACATTAATATACATGGGGGCATTTTAGTATCATACAAAACATAACTTCAATAATATCAAAATACAAGATTACTAGATTTTTTGGTTTTGTTTTTCCTTTGTTAGTTTTAAATTTTCTATATTTAATTTACCTTTCCATTTTTAGAAAAAAAAACGCAATAATCAAGAGCAGTAAAATCAAGGTTCTGGTTCTCGCAGTGTTCGTTGCTGCATCCATGTACTGGCATCTGCGGAACCGTTGAGTGTATGATGTGGCTATTCTAACAGCTCCAAGCTGATGCCTGGGAAGCCTTAAAGCTTTTAACCGATGTTGAGTTCACAGTGGCATTGTCCAGTCGGCCCCATGCTATTATTGTGGGTAGGAAAAGATATTGTTCATACTGCACTGTGTTGCACTAAGGCACTTTATAGCATTTTCTATTGTTACTGGTGTAATTGTTTATGGCATTGTCAGTGGTGAAGTCAGTGTTCAGTGAGCGTTTTGCTCTAATCAGTACACCAATATTCTGTGGATTGAAGTACGGAAGGTAGATAACAAGATTATTTATACACCTATTAAAGCAATTATTTTAAAATGGTTGATAGATACAGTAAAACAATGTTCCCAAGTATTTAGATAATTTTTTTTTTAAAGTATAGATTTATTTATAAGAATTGGACAATTGTTGCCTCCTTTGTGTTCTATATTATTGTAAATATCTAAAAAAAATACATGGTAAATTCAACTTAATCCAAAAGGTATAATTCTAAAGTTTTGTTAACGTAATGCAAAACAATTACATCATGAGAAATATTAAAAAACAGTCTTACAGTAACGAAAAAAATAAATTAAAATATAATTTTGGGGTCCCAGACAAAAACCAAATGTGCAAAAAAATTAAATTTTGTTATTAAAATTCATGATTTTATCAGAAAATATATATAAATATTGATCGTTTTTATAAATAGATTCTGATTTTATTATATATTTTAAAACGCCTTAAAAATAAATGTATTCAAAATTTAAATATGATTTACATATGCGTTTATATATAATTATTGTTAAAATAGACAAATTAAAATAAAAAATTACGTTTTTACCATTTTAGATTTAGATTACATTTTGTGTGCATTGTTTAGTGGTATTCGCCATGCAATTTGCATATTTAATTAAATGCATCGTATTTTCTGAAAAATTCTGAAGGTGTTGAGAAATATTATTTTTTTAAAGCATACTTTGTAAGGTACGATATCCACGATCCAGAAAATGGTATTTCTTTTTTATTTCAAAAGTGTTATTTTTTGTCAAAAGAAAAAAAACGGCAGTCATACATATATTTAAACAAGAGAATTATATATATATATATATATATATATATATATTTAAATTATGCCCAAAGGCTCTAAGCGTGATACAAAGTCAACCATATTAAAAGGGAAATGAAACAATCTAAATTTCTACCTCATTAAAACACATACGCAACACTACAATAACTGCAAACGAGCCTACCCATTCAGCGTCTTTCATTCCTTTCAACTATAAACAACACAAACCAATATACATCTAGGAGATAATAGCTAGCTAGAAAAGATGGTAGACCACTTCACACCGGCAAATATATAGATATATAGATGATATATAGATATATAGATAGATAGATAAATATATTAGATAGATAGATAGATAGATAGATAGATAGATAGATAGATAGATAGATAGATGGATGGATGGATGGATGGATGGATGGATGGATGGATGGATGGATGGATGGATGGTTGGATGGATGGATGGATGGATGGATGGATGGATGGATGGATGGATGGATGGATGGATGGATGGATGGATGGATGGATGGATGGATGGATGGATGGATGGATGGATGGATGGATGGATGGATGGATGGATGGATGGATGGATGGATGGATGGATGGATGGATGGATGGATGGTGTAACTAGGCTCATAGAATTTGACATATTATTCCAGTATACAAAATTATATTTCTTTTACAGTTTTGTTGTTCGTCAGTCTGAGTCAACCATGAGATCTTAATCATCTGTCTGTTAATGCACATATGGCTAATGAGGCCGATTCTGACACGAAAATATCGTGTACAGTAAGTGCAAGGAAATGATGGCGCATCTCCGGGAGCAGAGTAAGACCGGGCCCTCTTGGGATGTCTCTTGCGCTCTGCAGCTGGTGTTGTGCCAACTTCACAGAAGTGCAGGGGAATGATGGTGCATCTCCGGGAGCAGTGTCAGACCGGGCTATCCTGGCATGTCTCTTGCGCTAGCAGCTAGTGTTCTGCCAGCTTCATGTTGCTTGGAGCTCCTTTGCAAAGTGGAACGCTGTGAATTTCGATCCTCTACGTGTTCCTCCCACTTTTCTGGGTTTATTTTGAACGCTTTCGGTGAGGCTTTTATGTTGTCTTTAAAGCGTTTTTTCTGTCCGCAAGCAGACCGCTTTACTTGTTCAAGCTCATCATAGAAAATTCTATTGGGAAGACTGTCATCTGACATTCTGCTGGGTCTTCATCGAGATTGTTAAGATGCTGGCAGACCTGCCCATGTTAACACCTCAGGGTCTGGGACCCTGTCCTGCCATTTAATGTTGATGATTTCTCTGAGTCTTGTTGTATGAAAGTGGTTCAGCATTTTTGCATGGCGTTGGCAGACCGTCCACGTTTCACAGGCATAGAGAAGTGTAGGGAGAGATCAGCCGACAGAAACACTTTCAGTTCAGTTTCAGTGCTGATACCTCTCCTGGTCCATACGTTCTTAGTCAATCTCCCATAGGTTGCACTGGCTCTCGCAATACGGAGATTAACCTCATCATCGCTGGTAGAGCTCGTGACAGTGTAGGAAAAGCCTTTCACCCCCCACCTTAAGTATTTCGCCTTATACTATGATGTTGGGCTCAACATAAGGTCTTGGAGGAGCTGGTCGGTATATGACCTCAACTTTTTGTGTGTTAAATGTGAGCCCGATGTTTGAGCATTTTAAAAGCTTGTGACGCAGCGCTGCATATTCACTTCTAATATAACGTTTAAGGCACAGTCGTCTGTTTACAGGAGGTTCCTGATGGTGTCTTGCAGGATCTTCGTTTTTGCATTTAGCCTGTTGGGGTTGAATAGATTACCGTCAGTTGAGTATCTGAAGTAAATTCCACCGTCTCCCTCTCTGAATGTATTGCGGAAAAAATGAGGCTGAAAAGTTTTGGGAGAAGTACACAACCTTGTTTTACACCGTTGTTACAGGGAATGATTATAACGTCTCTCCATTTTCCCATTAATTCTATCCTGCATACCTTCATAGAATAATCGTACCATTGACACGAATTTTCTGGGGCATCAGTATTTGGCCATGATCTTCCAAAGGCCCTCTCTACTGACAGTGTCGAAAGTTTTGGTCAGGTCTACAAAGGTAGAGAATAGGTCAACATTTTGTTCCCTGCCCTTTTCCTCTAAGTGTCTGACCGCAAACACCATATCGATGGTTCCTCGTTCCTTCCAAGAGCCACATTGACTTTCTAGCAGTAAACCGTTTTAAAGATGCCTGTTAAGACGATTTAACAAGATCCTGCCCAATATCTTGTCTGCAATTAAAAGCACTGATATGATACGGTGTCTGTCACATAATGCACGGTTCCCTTTACGCTTTTGCACTTGAACAATAGATGCATCTTTGGACTCCTGTGGAAGGAGCTTTTACTACCACATAATTATGAACAGCTGTTGAAAACTTTCAGACAGACGGACTATTCAAATTTTGAAGGTATTTTTAATAATTATTTTAATAAAATCGGAATTAATTAAGCTACCGGATGTTGATATATTTTACAAAAAAATTTGGTATTCCAGTATTAGAAAGCAATACAGCACACAGTGTTATGCTTACCTTTATCCCCCCCCTCCTTTTTTTTTCCCGGAATTAATTTTGAAATATCATAATATTCTCTTTAATAATAGTCTTCTGGAAAATCTAATTTAAAAATAGTCTACCAGTTCTCACTAATGGCTCGTAACGGATATTTTAGTGATAGAATGCTTATGGTCATACATAAATTATATTACCATCAATTTTTTTTTTGACTTTACAGCCTATAACTTTAAGAGTACGCATTTGCAGAAAGCGGCAAACTCATTAGTCAAAACCGCCAAATAATCAGTAGCAGGATGATTCAAAACATTTTGAGAGCCAAATTTCTCTTCAACAACATGTCAAGAACAATGTTTTCCGAATTCAAAACAGATGTGTGGCCGGCTGGCCTAGCTGCACTCAGGTCGCTAAAGAGCCACATGGGGCTTGCGAGTCGCAATTTGCCGACCACTGCGCCAAGGTGATCGTGAAACGCAAAAAAATAAAGTAAAATAAAAATTAATATTTAAATACATGTACAAGCTTAAAAGCAATGATGGGGCTTTTAGCCGTTTTTTTTTTTAACAATGGAAATACAATAATGCAATATTAGAAAAAATGCATCTCCTTAAATTCAAGTATATGTTTTGTATTGTAATTTCCAATCATCCATAAATTTTTTTTTTTTAAATTATATAAATTGTTTAATTACTTTATCCGAATTTTAAAATAAAGAATTAATTGTATAAAAAAACAACGTATCGTCTAGATATAAGAATTATTAAGAAATTTAATGGATATTTTTGCATTTAACATTTTTTTTACTTTTTTTTTTTCATTTAGCAAACTAAAACTCAATAATTCACGTATCACTCATACCAATAAGAACACACAATATTATAATGTTTCAATTGATTTATTTTGAGGTTGATATCTTAAAATCTAATTATGTTACAGATTTGAAGTTTTGTAAATAATATAAAGTAAAAACAACTAACACTACTCTTTAAAAATACAGCATTATTCTTATTATGACTAGAGAAAATGACCCGATGTTATCGCGATAATAATATTATGTCCTTTGCGATAATTTCTAACTGTTATTGCAAAAATTCAACCCGATTCATAAGTTTTAAAATGTGATGATTTTTTTGGTCTAACATCATTGAATTTTGAGAAGTATTTATCAGCTATATATTATACGCGTACCATATACCCTTTCATGCTCCTAAACTACTTTTCCTCTTCTCATTATGATCTTAAATTACCCAGTCTAAACTATCACTAATTATTTCACTTTTGTCACTAAATAAGTACATTTAGAGACAATTAAAAACCAAGAGAAATACTATAGATTTACCCCTTTTCGTTCCCTTAAATTACAACTTTTTTTCTCTAAAAATTGTTAAAAAACATTATTTTAAATTTACAGCAAAAACTATATACATGACATAATTTGAGCATTATAAGAAAACTAATAGTTCTAGATTACATTTACTAATCACGGGAAATATTTTTTCGTTTTACTGAAAAGCGAACATATTGTGTAGTCTGCTAAATGCACATCATAATAAATTTATTTCATATTCCCAAACTTTTGTTTTAACAAAGCAATCAGTTTATTAAGGGAAAGATGGAGAAAATGGGACATTTTTTGAAGCAGTTTCAGAAATTTCATCATTTATTAAATTGCCAATTTTTGAAAAGCAATTCCCATGATAAGTCACTATAAGTCATAGTGTGTGATAAAGAACAGAAATGAACAATCTCGTCATTCCAAGTCCCCCCCACCAAAAAAAAAAAAAAAATTGGCTTACACAAGGTCACATTTAACTTCCCCTCCTTAGTTTCCAGCCCTAAATATTCATGTGACATGCCATGGAAAAAAAGCGTCATACTCCCACGAGTAAATTCAATAATAAGCCCCGACTGGCAGATAAGCCATACTAAGAATACACTTGAAAAAACGGACACTTCATATTGCGTAGCTATCACAAGATAACACATAAACACAATCTTTACTCAGGGATTCTAAAATTG